ATTTGCTATATAATGAAAGAAAATACAATATATATATATATATATATATATATATATGGTTTTTTGGGCATATTTGTTCTCGAGATACAGAAAAACACAAGACTGAAATGTGCCTGACTCCAAATGCACGAGAACAATGAGATTATAAGAGCACTAAAGCTGCCCTTCTTTTCTTTGGGAGATAGGAAAAAATAAAAATAAAAAAGTAAACAAAACATTATTATGAAAATATGGAATGTTATTTGAATGACAGACTAGAGTGGTTCACATACAGCTCATTAATGCCCTTCCACAAACTGGGATATGACTATTCATGTCAACTTTTCAAGAAAATTTGTTGCTAAGGGAGTTCCATTTTTGAGCTCTGGAGTTAAAAAAAAAACCTTCTTGACAACATTCACACTGTTTCATTTTTGAACTGGCAAGTTAAAAAATGGAATTCAAAACTGAAACATCATGACCAAACCATAGTTCATAGCTGCTAACACTGAAATGCTGCCAAGAGCCACACAAGCATCATGTCTATAAACCATAGTTCATGGGCATTAAACACCTACTAGCTGCCAAAGGCTTCACAAGCTCCTAGCCGTAGTTAACTTCTGCTTAACTGTAACAAGAGCCGTGCTCCTCTTAACTATGCCCGACAATGTACCCAACACACATCTTCATGGCAAGAGAAAAGATCTCATTAAAGTCGATACCCTTTTTCTTTTCAAAAGCTTTCATAAATAGCTTTGTCTTGTACTTTGGTTGTGAGCTCTTATCTTCAGTCTTTAGCCTATATACCAACTTGTTCTTCGTGCGCTCTTGCTTTTTGGCAACTTCTCCAGCTCATATGTTTGGTTATTATGTAAGAAACCTATAACTTTAACTTACTCATCCTTGTGTATTTAAGCTTACTAATAGTTTTCTTCTTTACCCATATCGATATGACATGCTCGGATGTGGGGCACTTGTTTGAGGGCTTGTGTCCCCTTGAGGATGTTCTCAATTTGATTGCATGTGGCACTTTTTGGATAAGTTGCCCCTTGCTCCACATCACCTAGAATTGGCATGTGATCTTATGAGATTCATTTAGACTTTTTATACTTCTCACTCATCTTCATCATGCATTTTCATTATGCACAATAATGAGAGAAACTATGATCAAGCATTGTAAATCATTAAAGATCTGTGGCTTCCCTAGCTTCAATGGTCAGATCTTCTTAAAAGACTGCATTCCTACTCCTAATTGCCTTCTTGTTCTCAAGGATCATATTATAGCCAAATTCTTTGTTTGAGCACCTTAAGAAGATGCATGGAATAACTTTCTCATCCAGTTTGGATCTTTGTTTCTTGGGCACATGCACAAATGTTTCGCACCAGAACACTTTCAAATATAATAAGAGATATATTTTTCGGTCTAAATTCTCACCAGGATATCACTATCCAGATATAATGATAAGGTTCTATCTATTAGGTATCATGTTCTGATGAATGTTTCACCCTAGTACGGCTTTGGTAACTTGGTGGTGGATGTCATTGCTCTTTACTCTTTCTACAATAGCACTATTCATTCTTTTCACTACTACAACATCATGCTACTAGTTTCTTATGCCTTATGCATGATTGGCTTAATAGATTTTGAATGCATTTGATGTGCACTCTTCCCCATAGTATGAATCAAGGATTTAAAAAATTCTGGGTCAGCACAGAATGACTCAGTCAAACTCAAGAATCAGTCACCCCATGCTGATTCTATCAATATATAGGAAATCGTCGGGTCTAGAAGAGAACCGGCGATTCGGTACAGTAACACAACATTTTGCGAAAGTAAAAACGTCGTTGCTATAGTAAAGCCGCCTATTCACTTATCTAGATCGGTTCTTGACCGGTCTACTGTTTTTGCATATATTTTTTTGCCGGTTCACTATTTTTTCCACACAATAAAATGGCAATCCAGACCACCGATTCATCTGATGGCCGATCCTAGTCACTGATCCATTTTTTAAATCACTGGCATGAATATAAACACTTTAACAACTTGCTTGTCGCCCTTTGTACTTTGGTTTAAAAATTTTAAAAGATCTCAAACATCTAATCTATTGATTTCATCATATACACGTACAACTTCCTTGAAGCAACATTAATAAAGTTGATGAAGAATGAAACACCGCTACGAGATTTTACATCAATGTGGCCACACACATCTAAATACACCAATCTTAGATTTTCATATCAACCATAGAGTTCTTAGTAGCAAAGATAGCTATATTGTTTTAGGGCTACCAATTTTCACCTTCCTCCCAGTTCCTAAGAAACTGAACAACTTGAAAACTGCAAAGAATTTTATCAAATGCAGCTAAAGAATTAACATAGTTCACCTTTTAGAACTACACCATGAAAAGAAACAAATAATCCACTGAAACAATGGAAATTACAAGCGTTTGATGAAAGCAATCTCCTTCTTCCAGGAAGCTGTATCTTATTTTCTTCTTCAAAAGGCTTTCAATTTCTCTTGGATTACAAATCTCTCTCTCTCTCTCACAGACTCTTCGATCTCTTAGGTTTCTCTCTCTAGAAGCTCTCTACTCTTTAGGGTTTCTCTCTTCCATGGCTCTCTATTTCTTCCTTTGGGTTAGGGCTAGCAATGGTTAGGTGGTCTGGCCCCTAAACACTAGGCCTGGGTCACAATATGTGGACCAAGGTCAAGGCCGAAGCCAGCCCTAGCCCACCGGCCCCATGTTTTCTTACTTTTTTTATTTATATTTTTTATTTTTTTCTTTTCAATGGGTCTATTAGGCAAAAACCCCAGCCTAGCCCAGTGTGGACTAGGCCAAGGGCCCTTTGACCTGAACCTGGCCAGACTCGAACAGATCCTATAGGGAACCAAGCCGAGCTCATGCCCAAGTTGGGCCCAGCTTAACTTTGGGTTTCTCCTTATATCAAAGAGCTCTCATCTAAGATACCTATTTTCTCAATTTGGGCCATATCCCAACAACTTGCTCCCCCATCTAGTTGGGTACTTTCCCGATGTGCCCCCATCTTTATGAGGTATTTAACAGGGGTCCATCCCCTTTTCTAGAGAGAGCCCTTCCTTCTCATGGTACAAAGGAAACTATCATGGCTTACTTCATCCTATCTTTTTCTGCTCGACCTTTTTTTTTTTTGTCCTTTTTTAAGTAACTCGGGACCATTCTAGTACCATGCTACCCTGAACACCTAGGCCTAGTGATTATTTATGTCCACTACTCCTTTATTCACGAGTAATGTTTATGAATTGCACACGTATCTGTTGTTTCATTTGCACAAAACGATGCATGTGTCTCATGCCAATACAAATTAGCACGTGTGTATCATGTGTATCCTGCCAATACAAATTAGCACGTGTGAGTATGCATGCATGCAAGGATGGCATGTATGAATGTGAAACCCAAGAAGCAACTCCATGGACTATTGGCTTGCACATGACATACTTGTGCAGACCTAGAGAGAGAGAGATGCGCATATCTTGAGGGTAGAGAGAGAGAGACCATATGAAAATATAGTGTTTAAAGTCCATTTGATTGAAAATTATGGATTTGATTACTTCCTTTGATATTTCTTTGTACATGTGTATAGGGAGGCTAATAAATTAGTCGACGTGTTGGCAAAGAGGTTATGATGTGCGATGTTATGAGAACTTATTGTATATGATCAATTGATCGTGTAATCCTTTTGTGTAAGGAAAAAGTATATATAAGTGCAAAGTCCTAAACAATCAAATTAGAGCACACCTAAAAAAATTCATCCGAAGAGGTTGTTTTGATACCCAAATATCCTCAAATTGATCATCTTGACATCAAGATATATAGACATGAAAAAAAAAATGGATTTCAAGTTTTGAAAATAATGCATCTTGTAATGTATTTTTGGACTGTTAGTTTTCAAGATCTTCAAGTTTTCATAAATCTGCTTGATCTGCACTATTTTTTAAGCTTTGAATTTTATAATTCGCAATGAAAATATATCACCAAAATTTCCAGTATTGAAACCACGTTTCTCAACTCTATTTGAAGGTGTGCTTTATTACTTTGATTGTTTAGAACCCCGGCTCTGTACAACCTGCACACTTCATGCAATACTCTACATTAGGAAAGGGGATTGGGTCATGGTGCTAGCACCCCCATACCTAGTTGTGGTGGCTTCGAATTCTTCTGAAACCACCCAATGGCACCTTAAAAAAAAAAAAAAAAAGGTAACTCTTTTCCTTAATCTATCTTAAAAAAGAAGCAGGGGTTTCTCTTCCCCCATTGAATTATCAAAAAAAACAAAAAAAAAAAGAAAGAAAGAGATAGAATATGCAAATAAAGTGCTTCAACAAAGCGCAACATGATTAGATAAATCATATGATGTAACGAACCGACCATCATGTGCTGCCATCATGACATGGACAAACACCAACATCATCCATAGTACTTCAAAATGCCATGCCCACCTAACAATACCAGTCTCCCTGCTGTGGGCCTCTTGGGCACAAGAGCAAGTCTCCATCTACAGTGAGTGACAAGCCCCAGTTTTTTTGATTCTTTCTTTTCTCCCTCTTCTTCTTTGTTTTTTTTTTTCTGGGATTGGTGTGCTTAAAAAACCCAAGTTTCCTTGACTTGATTGATGCAGTAAACACTGTAAATATTATAGTGGCCATTGGCGAAGCAAAGAAAAACTGAAAACTTCTCACTTAAAAAAAGAAATAAAAGAGAGAGAGAGTAAAATTAGAGGTCAATATTCCAGCCTTAACGTAACAGTCATCATCAAATCATTAGAAATGACTGCTCATTTTGATTATTTGGTTGGTGGCATTAGAGTCCCAAGTCAAGAAGCAATTGATACTTAGATTTAACCACAAATAACTTCTTTATTCTTATTCACAGTTTCCAAATAAAGATTCCTACTTTGGTGTGGTAGTTTTTGGTGGGGGTGGTTTCCATGATAACATTCATTCTCTCTCCCTCCATGAGAACACTGAATACAGGCCATCAATCTAATTATGGGAATTACACAGTTCCATTGAGATATATTATTCAACTGATTGCCACATCTCATCCATGCTCCAAAGATCATCTGAGACATTAACAACCCAATTGTTTTGAGCCATGAACTGTTCTGATATTGTGCAATTGTTGATAGGAGCTGACTTTTTGGCCATAATAGAAGTAGAACCTGTTCCATAATTATCAGAACAATAATTCTTCAAAAATGGCTGTGAAATTGGTCTCCCAAAGAATTCATGGTTGAATTGAACTTCCGACGAAGGAAATTGGGTTGTCATGATAGAATCTGAGGAGCGTAAAATTTCTAAACTGAGTTGGTCTTGATCAGGATTGTTTGTATGGGTAAGAAATGGCTGGATATGTTGGGACGTTTCTTGTGGGGATTGTGTAGGAATAGAGGGATTTAAGTGAGAGAAAGGAATGGAAGATGAAGAATTCTCTCTCTTTTGAAGTTTTGGCATCCATGAGCATGTAATTGTCTCTCTAAACCTTGCACTGTTCGCATCACATTGGAGTTGCCTGGCTTGCCTTTGCACCCTTGTTCTCCAATAGTTCTTTATTTCATTATCTGTTCTTCCTGGTAGGTGCTGGGCTATTCTTGACCACCTGCACAAAAATATGATAGAGATAGAGATGACTGTCTGAACAAGATTTTGGGCTTAATTTATTTCATTTTGTGAGAGTGGGGTTTTATTTATTTCATTTAAATAAAATAAAATAAAAAAACATTGTGAAACAACTTTAGTATTCAAATAAACCTCATTCAATGCCTGGCATAAGAACCCATGGACAATTTCATGTGATTTAATGCTAAAAGTTTGAAGATCCAGTTATTGCCATCCAATAAAACTAACCTTTATGAAATCAAAGGCACCCAATTTTGGCCTGATGAGGATAGACAAACAAAAGATTTACATAGAACCTATGTTTCTCAATTAGCCCTTCCCTTTTCCTTTCTCTGTTTTTTTCTTTTTTAAAGCTGAATTAGGAAATTTCAAAAACCAATAGTTATTAGGTTCAATTACCACATTTCTGTCTGAATGTTGGGGAATCCAATTCTTAATATCTAAATCAAATTCTTTGTAGGTGAAGAGGGGCATACTGAAGCAACTTAAATACCTGTTTCCCCATTTAGAATGGAGCTCCAATATCAAGAGCTGTTCTTCTGGTGTGAGATTTCCGCGCTTGATGTCAGGTTTCAAGTAATTAAGCCATCTCAGTCTGCAACTCTTTCCAGTTCTCTTAAGTCCTACAATGATTTGCATTTCAAAATCCATAAGACGCATAAAACAATCAGATTGACGGACAAAGATGCAGTCATTTGCATTTGCAAAAAGAAGCACCATCCCCCCACACGCACAAAAGAGAGAGAGAGAGACACCTGAGTACTTGGCCAACATATTCCAGCGCCCTTCACCATGGCAAGCAATGTAGTGAATGAGAAGTGTGTCTTCCTCTAGTGTCCATGGCCCTCTTCTCAGATCACCACCCTCCTCTTCATACTTTGAGCTGCTCCTCTCTTTACTACCGCTACTGCCACTATCACAAGCCATCAAAACCTAGCAACCCCAAAAAAACAAGAACAATACTGGAAAACACTTCATATGATACAATTTTTGGTTAAATCAGATGTTAAATATATGAAGCTCAGAAAATCCATTATATAGACTATGTACACTGTAATCCCTTGCCAGTTACCTCATACTGAGATAAATTGAAGTGACCCACTCAAACCTCACAAGACTTTCCAAGTACCCTCGAAGCTTGCCCTAATTATTTGAAATACCCCAATTCCATTTATGAGAATATAGCCTTCGATAGAGAACGGACAAACGGGATTTAACTGCCCCATTTAATTGGGATAAGGCTTACTGGATTTAACTGCCTCCATTTAATTATTGGTATAAGATTTAGATGATTTTGAACCTAAAATAAAACTAAAATATCCTCAATATCTCATTTCGTTTACTTTTATTTTGACATGAGATGATGGAGAAAGGTTAGGAGAGTATAAATGCAATTGAGCAAGAGTGAGCTTAACCATCGATGATCCATCCATCCAAGTTTAAATTATATGATCTGATTTGTGCATCCATGATCCCTAACACATTCCTAGGACAGTAAGGGTAAAATGGTCATGACAGGAAGTTGAGGGTATTCTAGTCAATTTCAGATGCAATTCTCCTTTTGCTATTTTGCCCTTTTACACCAGCAGTCCTTTTGGGATAAATGTCAAACAGCAGCACCCAATGTCTAGTTTTTCAAGAACCACATCCATATCAAGAAGAGAGAGAGAGAGGTCGGTAGCTTGCATTTTTGAAAATGAGAGAGGGAGAGAGGCCTATGGTATGCTGGCTAGCTTTTATGTTACGGGTGAGGTTTCTCCTTATATTGCGGAAGTAAGGCGCATTTATAAAATTGATTTAGGGATGTTGTTTCGGCATCAAAAGAATCTCTTTTTATTCTCAATTATATCATTTAAAATTTCAAAAATGGTATAGATAGAGAAGATCAAGAAACACTTGAAAATAGACGATCGAGATAACTTACTACAAGATGCACTATTTTTTAGACTTTTCTGCATGTCCATTCATGTCAAGGTCGAGATGATCAGTTTGAGGGTTCTCCTATGCTGGAGCACTCGCCACTATAGGATTTTTGAGATGCACCTAACTTCACAACAGTATAAGGTTGCAATCTTATATAAACATTTTCCTTCGGGAAATGAGAGAGACGTAATTATAGCTTTTATGATAAAGAGTGAGAGAATGAGGGGTAATGCTAGCTTTTATGATAAGGACACGGTTTCTGCCAGCTCGCATATTGCAGAAATGCGGGCTTGACAATAAATATATATTTTAAATAAAATTTGATTTTAATTTTTAGAAAATTTAAAAACTTTAACATGGAGATCTTGAAAATGAAAAGAAAAAATATTGAAAACTAGAAATAATAATTATATTAAAAATTAGTTGGACTGTTAGTTACTCTTGTTTTTAGATGGACACCTATTTGTATCCAGTTTAAGAAGGATGCTTTAATACCTTTAGACTGCATCATGAAATAATTTTGCTTATGATAATGAGACAGAGAAGTAATGCTAGCTTTTAAGATAATGAGAGAGAGAAATAGAAAAGTAATGCTAGCTTTTAAGAGAATGAGAGAGATAGAGAAAAGTAATGCTAGCTTTTTAAGATAGGGTGCGGTTTGTATAGAGCCTAGGTTCCAAACAATCAAATTAGAGTCTACTTTCAAATAATATCGAGAAATGTAGTTTCGTTATTGGAAATCTTTGTGATAGCCTTAAAATATATTTTTATATTTATTTATAAAATTGAAAGCTTAAAAAACAGTATAGATCGATAGATTTATGAAAACTTGAAAATCTTGAAAATTGATGGTCCAAAATTGCATTACAAAATACACTATTTCCAAAACTTGAAATCCATTTTTTTCTCATATCCAAACATCTTGATGTCAAGATGATCAATTTGAAAATCTTTAGACATCAAAACAACCTCTTTTAGTGAAAATTTTGAAGTAGGTTCAAAATTGATTGTTTAGAGCCTCGGCTCTATATAAACTTTTCCCTTTAAGATAGGGACACCGTATCTATGCAGTCAGCCCGCATAATGTAAAAATGCGGGCTTGGCAATAAATATATTTTTTAAATAATCTTAATTTTTAGAGAATATATAATCTTTAACATAAAGATCATGAATGTGAAAATACAATTAAAAAATAATATTATAATAAAAAAACATTTCGACTGTTGGTTAAACTTATTTTTAGATGGACCACCTGTTTGCATCCATCTTTAAGATGGATGTTTTATACCTTGGCCCGCATATGGATGTTTTATACCTTGGCCCGCATATTGTAGATGGGTGTTTTATACCTTTGTCCCGCATATTGTAGAAGTGCGGTCCAGCCCGGATCAAACAATTTTCATCAAGATTAATTACAGGGAGAGGGAAATGATGACTTTCTTGAAATTGACATGCTGATTTTCATAGGGAATGGGTCTTTCAAAGGGTAGGGTTTTCTAGATTCCCTTCACAAAACCGTGTTTGACTGAACAAAATATATTAATATGCATACGTGGTCTCAGGTGATTTGCCCTCCATGGGCGGCATTCATGCTTCTTCATTATAAAACACATGCCTCTTTTACTTCAATGTCAAAGCATGTCTGCTTCATCTTTGCAGACAGCCATGGTTTTTCTATGAATTTCTTTTCATTACCACTGTCTCCCAAGCCGCCAAATTTAGAGACAAATACATCATGGGCCTCAGAGCCTGTCAGTTCTCTGCTAGATTTGGAGGCTTTGCTAATCTTTGAACCAAGGTTTAATGGAACTAGCTTCAAAGTTTTTTAAAGACAAAGAAACTTGGGTTTGTTGGTACTGCAACATTGTTGGGATTTGTGATTCTCTTTGTTTAGGGAATATGTAGATTTAGTGGGTTATGTAGAGGTTTTGCTTTGTCAATTAATCATGCAAGAACATGGGTATTTTGGCAATGGGACAACTTTATGTATATTTAGTGGGTTATGTAGAGGGTTTGTTTTGTCAATTAATCATGCAAGAACATGGGTATTTTAGCAATGGGACAGCTTGGGGATACGTGTGTCTCCTTGTTTTGATTTTGTAGTAATTTTAGGGGGGTCTCTAAATATGGGGAAGATTTAGTGGGTTTCTTGCGTCTTAAAGAAAAGAATGGGATGGTTGCCGATTAATATTAGCGATAAAGTATACACTTTAATATTCGCAATAAAGTATGTGTAAAGTATATATGACCTCTGCTCTCAGCCATCAGATCTGAGTGGACAGTTGTGATGGCTTGAATCATGATATCACAAGTTGGCCCTCGAGCGTTAGAACTTGATATGATGGTCTTGAGTATTTTATTTTTAATTTGTATTCTGTAAATCACTTTGTAGCCAAATATGGGGCTTGCATGTATATGACAAGTGTGCACATGTTATTATATATATATATAGAGAGAGAGAGAGAGGGAGAGAGTGAGAGAGAGAGAGTACAAAACGGCTATTGGTAAAAATGAACAATGATTTTGCATATCTTCATCACCGTCCAAAGTTCATCGCATGGTCATGATTGTCCGATAGTGTTTAATTTTTTATTTTTTTTACAAATCATAATAATCCGAAATTTGGAACGTGTGTTCATAAAAAATAAGTGAATATACGAAAAATATCAAAAACTATTTCACAAATTATTTTGTTTATATTTTTATTAGGTGTGCATCATTAAGATGTATATACGCTATAAATTTCAAATCATTTCGATTTATAAAATAAAATAAAAAATGAAACACTACAGAACAATCATGGTCGTATGATTAACTTTGGACAGTAATGAGGGTAGGCAAAATCACTGTTCCTTTTCACCTATAGGTATTGGTAAGACTTTTTCATATATATATATATATATATATGAGCAATGATCCAATGCAATGGTTGTATAATACTATAATACAACGACACTTCTAGAAAACTGTATTTGTGGTGTTTGTATGACCTCAAAATTTGCACATACACTCTCTTCATCTCAATAATCAATCTCTTAAAAATAAATGTTCAATTTGAACCCCTAGATATTGTCAAAATGAGTCCCCTCCAAAAGCGAATCTAGACAATCTATTTTGTGAATTTTAATATCTTAGCCTTTATAAACTCAAAATCATTTTTTTCTTTTTTGACATTGTTCATCTAATGATAATAAAACCATCCAAAAAAATTAAAAATGAAAAAATCCTTCTAAGGCCTAGATCTAAGCATTTAACCAAAATGAACAGTCTATGTTAATCGGGTTAAAAAATTACTTTTTAAAGTTTGCTTGGAGATGTAGTTCACATGCTTGAAATTTGATGCAGATAAAAATTTAAAAAGTGTGGTCGTGAGTTTTAGTAGGATTGGAGATATGGTTGGTTTTAATATTTGAGAGATTTGCCTAAGGTTTATAGGAGATTTAGATAGAGATGGATTTATGGGGATTATAAAGATTGAGAAATTTTGGTGCATGAATATTTAGAAAAGTTGAGAGGAGGGAAAAAATAGGGGGAGAGAGAAAATAGAGAGAAACCCATGGAGAATGATATAGATAAAAATTTAGAAAGTGCGAATAGATTGGGAGAAGAGAGAAAATAAGGGGAGAGAGAAAATAGGGAGAAGAGAGAAAATAAAGAAAGAGATAGATGATACGTGAGGTTAAGAGAGAGAAGATATGATAAGTACGTAATTTTTTTAGAGAGGCTTCATTTTATTTTGGGCTTTCATATCAATGAGAATGGAATAAAGTTGATTTTGTGATAAAATTTTTTTTGGGTGCTTGTGGACTTTGTTTTGGAGTGGATTCCTTTATATATATTGTTTTTTAATGTGGATTTCTTTACAGACATTGAAAAATGATATATTCTCTCAATTATTTTTTTATTTTATTTTTATTGTTCAAGTTTTATTTTCCTCTGCATCAAAACCTTATGATAGCTTGAAAATATGTTTTTATCCTTAATTTTGAAATTTAAAATTTTAAAAATACTATAGATCGAATAGATCTATAAAGGCTAGAAAATCTTGAAAATAGCAATTTAGATTACTGGTTAAAAATTGAACTATTTTTAGGAAATAATTTTTTTTCTCTTAATATCCTTACATCTCCACGTCAAGA